TAGTAACTAAGTAACCAATTACCATCATGTGATTCCCTAAGATCATCAATCTACCTTCGATGAAATAAGTTTTTTTTATTGCCATTGTATGCAGACGAGCATACGGCCCACCTGATGGTGAGTGGTTACCGTCGCCCATGGACTTCAGCAATACCAGGGGCAGAGCCAAGCCGCTGCCTACCAAAAAGTTAGTTAGCTTACCATGCATTTACCGCTTGTAGGCTACGGCTTGGCTCTGCTAATTGGCTAATACTAATTGAACAATTTCTTACGAATTTATTAATAGTCTAGCAAAGGATACCGCGTCGTTTTAATTTACAACTTCATATATGTTCGACAGAGAAAAATATGGTTAATAAAGATGAGTTGGTATATGTTTTTTTTTTATTGCTTAGATGTATATTAATAACGCCTTTTGTATAAAGTTCATGACTACACATGGAGTTTTTTGTTTGAACTTCAGTCTGACATTGACATCCTACGCAGTTTAATCACGTCACAGACGATAGTTTGTACAGTAACGAACTACAACCGTATCCTTTTTCAAAATTAATATTCATTTAAAAAAGTAAAGAAATTTTCAATCTCTCATAACTTGCACCACACTATACCATTTCAATGTGTTTGTCATTTTTCTCGTAGATATTAGCCGCGACGTGCCTGTGTGAGTTCAGGGCTGTGCCTCTATCATGGAAACTTCTTATTGTTGCTAGTCCTGAAAGGGTCTCAAGTGTCATGCCATGATGGTCTTTTGTCGAACAAAAAAGTTTTTAGAGTTTAATTAGGTACCTAGTTTTAAAAGTATGGCCTCAAGCGGTGTTTTAAGAAGTGGCAATGGAAAGTGTATCGTGTTGAAATGCTAGAAAAAGAAATATCATCAATAATTTGCGAAATTATTTTTGACTAGCGGCCCCCTCCGGCTCCGCTCGGGTCTTTAACAAAAATTTCAACGATATTTGACGTATTATTTTTTTTAATAGAAGAACACTTATTAAAAAAATAATACGTCAAATATCGTTGAAATTTAATAACTATAACAGTTAGACATATGCTGTCGCGACACTTTTTGTAAATAATAATGTGTTCTACAAAGTCGTAGTACCTACATGATTTTATTCTATCATGAATAGTTTTCGGAGGGCACGCAATGTAAAGAATATTTTAGGTAATTTTTTTACACCTTGGGTTACATTATTGGAGTTTTATTAAGGATCCCTAATTTTTTCAAAAAAGATTATAGCCTCTGTTACTCGGGAATAGTGGAGCATCCAAATAGTGAAAGAATTTTTCAAATCGGTTCAGTAGTTTCGGAGCCTATTCAATACAAACAAACAAACAAATCTTTCCTCTTTATAATATTAGAGTAGATTTACACGAGTGTTTTTGGGCTGGTGTTTTTTATATTATCTCTATCTATAAAAGAATGACATAATGACCCTATTATGGATATATTATGTGGGTATGTGGTAAACGAGTTTCTCAACATCTATATACAAATAAAACGTACTCATAGTCACACCAGGCCGTAACATAACTGAAGTATTAAACTATCAGCTATCTGTCAGACCATCGTTTAGGAGTTATTACGGAGGGCGTTTTGGGCCCTCTGAGGGCTCGTGGCTCTGTCATTTACGAGTAACGAGAGTTTAGCTGGCCGAAGATGCATCGTACTGATAGATTGATCGACTACAATTTCGACCTGTCAAGGTTTTTTTTTGCAAGAAGGTATTTATGGGAATTTTTCCATTCGGGCAAACGGCATTTAGCGCAGGGTAGTTGCTATTTACATTACTATTTTCTTGATTGATAACACATTTAATACTAAAACAGCATGTGGCGGTAGCCATCACAGAGAATGACATATTTATTTGACAGATTTCCAAGTCTCGCTGACGACATTTTCAAGATAAGCTTGGATATATACAAGTTCCGAACAACAATATGATTAACCCACAAACACAGTCCACTGAGTTTCTCGCCGGATCTTCTCAGTGGGTCGTGTTTCCGATCAGGTGGTAGATTCTGCGAAGCACGGCTCTTGCTGGGGTTCGTGTTAGCAACGTCATCAGGTTTGAGCCCCGTGAGCTCACTCACTAGTTAAGGTTACGCTGGAATAGCCTCTCAAGGCTATCAATAAATGTAGGAAAAAAAATCGGTACGTCGGTCTACCGATCAACATCACTCGCTCGGTGGAAGATCTTCCCTTTTATCGTATACCCCCAAAAGCAAAATAGTTCTCAGCCGTCATTATATATTTATCAATGAAAATCGTCTCCTTTCATTGACCTCTCAAATATAATTTTCGTTCAAAGCTAACATCAATTAATGGGGGACGTCTGAAAATGCTAGAGAAATTAGAGGAAACAAGCTTCATTCCCTTCAGCCGGCCGTTTGGAGACATTAAAGACCATTTATCGAGTTGGAGGGGGACACGCGATCATTTTTGGATTATGACTGCCCCCGTAGATAGCGGAATTAATTTACGAAATCGCCAATTTATTCTGAACTGTGTCGTTGTAATATTCTTTAGTAATATTCTTGATGTAGGGCTCATAGTAGTTTGGGATCGCTCTAACTGGACGTTCTTTGAGGGATTATGGTCGGTGCACCGTGTTTGAAGGGGGATCGAGATGTTTTTGCGTAATTAGTGGAGCAAGTGCTTTGTGACGATAAGTTTTGGGTATAGCGAGTATACTTGGCTATTTATTATTTATTTACATTATGTCAGCATTTTGGTAAAACAAATCTACATTTATAATACTATTAGATTTCTTGTTGATTACTGCATTTTCTATTCATTAATTTTATTGGATTTTTCCTACAAATTTTCAAAACTAGTCACGTTGTGATAAATGTCTTACAGGCTTATTGAATTTCTGAGCAATGTATGTTGTTTTAAAATTGCTAATTAATTAAAATACAAGAATTTTGGTAATTAATATTTTAATAGTATGTGTTCTTTCTGGAACATATGTCCGTGACGAAGATTAATCTTACTTAGGTGTTTAGTTGACACTGGAGACTTCAGCATCGTAGAATATTATTTTGGTTATATAGAATTTATTTTAGAAATGTCACCCGTTAGAATGATGGTATCGAAATTATCTAAAATGACAGTCGAGAGAACCTTTTTTATCTCTGTCGAATTTTTAATGACCTGGCTTCGGTTTAATAGTAGAGAGAAGGGCACACGTGTGTAATTCATACAGGGCCTTTTCAAATAATGTATTTTGAATAGTGCTTAGTTGTACTAGATTATTAGAGAATAACATATTGTCATCATTTCTAAACGAACAATTGACTCGAATGTAGCCATCGTTATCTCGCAAAAATGTCTGACGGGAAACCGAAATACGAGATGCAATATTAAAAATGGGGGCTCAAACACAATAGACCCAGGTAAGGGATATCATCGAAAAAGTGACGGGAAATGGAAAAATCAAAATTCACATCCTCTATTCAAGAGTCACTGATAGGCGTGTCGCTGTGTTAGGGACGATACAATGCCCGTAGGTACATTCTGTTGGAAGAGATTCGGATATTTTTAATGTTTTTATTTTTGGAATTCGTTGATGTGGACTATTTTTTTACACTTCAACGCTTCACGCTTTGGCACGGGCAAAAGTCTGGTTTTGAATGAAATAAAATGACATAGATATAAATAAAATTGGAGTGTCTGTTTTTAATATTGAAATAGCCTCTTTTTACTACATGCATATGAATATATATACGGTACATACACCAAAATAACATTTTTTACAATTTTTGTGTGTCAGTCTGTTTGTTCCGGCTAATCTCTGGAACGGCTGGACCGATTTTGACGGGACTTTCACTGAAAGGTAGCTGATGATATAAGGAGTAACTTGGGCTACTTTTTTTTAGACTAGCTTCGCCCCGCGGTACGACAATAACCGCGGGTAACATTGCGGGACTCAGCTATCAATAATAACATTTAATGTTTCCGAAGCGAAGCGAGGGCGGGTCGCTAGTCCACAATATAGCGAAATAATATTGTTTCAAAAGAATTACAGAAAGTGATCTAAATTATCTAAAGTCGGATAATGATCCAACCAAGTTAAGAGTTGACACGAAAATCGTAACGAAAGAGTTAGAGTACGAGTAATTAAAATTGTTCTGTGGCTATTTAAAACAGAGCGAAAAATATAAGATATCGCAAACAAATAGTGAGATTGTTAGAAACAACAGTAAACCTTATTTCCTAAGTAGCAGAGGCGTTTACATTGTATTATAAAGCAAACCCAATTTTGTGAAAAGAATTTCTTTCAAGAATGATGAAATATTTCGGAAATTTGTATTCGATTTAATACGAAAAAATACGAACTTTATTAACGTGCCCATCGACCAGTTACTGAAGATACTCGAAGTAATCTTTTTATAACGACTGTTCATGTCAAGTTATTATGGACGTTCTTGATAGGCAGCCCCGCGTGAATTTTTAATTTCGGACTTGAATATTTTGTTTGTTATGTTTTGAGTTTTAATTTTTACATTATTATTAAGATAGGTAGACGTTAGATCGGATAATGCGATGATAATGCAGAAAGAAGGTGGCAAATGAAATAATTTACAAATGACTCAAGAAACGACAATGAAGTGGTCACAATGGTTTTTGAGTCCGCGCGGGTAGGTACCACCACCCCGCCTATTTCTGCCGTGAAGCAGTAATGCGTTTCGGTTTGAAGGGTGGAGTAGCCGTTGTAACTATACTGAGTTTTTAGAACTTATATCTCAAGATGGGTGGCGCATTTACGTTGTAGATGTCTATGGGCTCCAGTAACCACTTAACACCAGGTGGGCTGTGAGCTCGTCCATCCATCTAAGCAATAAAAAAAAATTTTGTTTCCTTATTCTTTACAACTAAGAGCAATGACGTTCTATGTTGTCAAGTCCCGCGGTTCTAGTGGAAGACGCCAGAACGAAGACATCAATGACGCTAAGGTATAAGAAAATGCTAAACAGATTTTGAAGAGTGCACCAACCTCCAGGGCTGATGATAAAGACGCCTTCTCCTGCTTCAAAGTCTCCACGCGGCTCTTGTATTGTAGCAGCGATCTGACTGTCTCCTCCATCCTGAAACAAGGAAACGATCATTGTAGCGCTTTTGAAATACGTACTTAACAAATGTTTCATTGGAGTTTCATTGGAGTTGTAAATATTGTTTTTTTTTTAACGACACTGATGATCTCTATGAAATTGAGGAATTTGAAGGACCGGTCAAACCTATAGGAAAGGATTAGACTTAAAAATCATTTCGTGCGTGAAGGTTAGTGATATATTTGTTGTATGTAACAATGATGATTTTATTATCTTTTATCTTATACCTTTAAACGAGCAACTCTTGTATATATATATCATCTGAATCTCGGAAACGGCTCCAACGATTTTCATAAAATTTAGTATACAGGGGTTTCGGGGGCGATAAATCGATCTAGCTACGATTTATTTTCAGAAAATGTTGTTTTATTTATGTTTTCAATAATCAATATTTCCTGACATCTATTGGCGAATAATAATACTATTTTTCTTAACTGAGGGCAACTAATCGCTTTAAAGACACAACAAGATGGCGTTATCAAAAAAAAACCGAGCAAAGCTCGGTCATCATCTAGTATATATAATAAATACACTATGCTTTAATATATTTTAATAATATCCGTTTCCGTTTTATTTTTCTCTTCTGTTGATCTATAAATTTCTATGTTACGACTCAATAGATGAATGGTAAATTACACTATAGCGTTACGTCAGCCATTTCTACTTCTGTGCATTAAATATTAAATTAATTTTATTTTAATATAGCTGACCCGGCAGACTTCGTACTGCCTTAATCGACAAATAAAAGACCTAAACTTTTGTATAAAATAAACTTAAAATAAACCAAAAGGAATCCGTCCGACGGGTGGCACATCAAGGGAAAAACAAAATTGTTTGTTTTTATATAATTCCGAACATTTTCATATTTAACTTTATCTTTTAAACCTTCTCTGGATTTCCACGAATAATTCAAGACCAAAATTAGCCAGATCGGGCCAGCCGTTCTAGAGTTTTAGCGAGACTAACGAACAGCAATTCATTTATACATAGATAGGTAGATATATAACTGGGTTACCTATTGGAAAAGGACAAATTAAGTTTTCTTCTTTTGTAAACGTACCAACACAGTTTTAGCGTTCATTTCGTCGCCACTTCATTAGCGCGGATCGTCAGACACACGTCCGTAACGGGACCGTCACGACAAATGACGCGTTACGAGACAGTTTTTGTCGTGGCTGTTGTTTGTGTTCGTTGTTGATGTTGTACTTTTGTTTAATAATTGAATCAAAAAGTGACACGCGCTTCATTTCGGAATGTCAGTGTTGTTTTTTTTGTTTTTTTTTTTTTACTTTGTGCTTTAGTGCACAGGGAAATTTAGAGAAAAGAGTGTGTGTATTAAAAAAATGCGGTAGTGTCAAAATACGTTGTATATATATAGTTTAAAATTCTTTTATTTCTCATCAACGAACATTAAAATACGCCAAAATAAAAAAATACGTTTCATACTGCAAAATAATTCTAAGATAAACGAAACGCGAAAATGATTCAACAACAATTTTATGTGCCGAAATTAATCAGGCAAATTTAAAAATTTAATGCTTAATTTCTCCCCGCTTCTTTACAGACCGATCGGCTTATGAGATAATTCTCTGTACAAAAACCCTCTTCAGGCCGAACCGCTTCATCCCTTTTTAATTATTAATATGCTGCTCGTGGCATGAATTGTGGCATTAAAATAAAACGGTTGCTTGGTGATTATTTCACGGAAATCTGAATCACATCGCGCATTTTGGCGACCACGTGGAACGTTGGTCTGTCGTAATCGAGTCGTATGATGATAGTATTTCCAGTAATGCACTAGATTGGCCTAAAATAGACTATACTGAATCGGTTATGCTCTGAAGTTAGCTTTTTTTTCTTCTTTTTTTTATTGCTTATATGGGTGGACCACCACCGTGTCTGCCGTGAAGCAGTAATGCGTTTCGGTTTAAAGGGTGGAGCAGCCGTTGTAACTATACTTGAGACCTTAGAATTTATATCTCAAGGTGGGTGGCGCATTTACGTTGTGGATGTCTATGGGTTCCGGTAACCACTTGACACCAGGTGGGCCGTGAGCTCATCCACCAACCTAAGCAATAAAAAAAACCTAAAGCCTAAAACCTCGAACTAGACATGATCTTCAGAAACGAAAAAGAAACAGGATAATATTAGTACCCACCCATGAAGTTTGGGTACTTTCTATTTCAACTGAATACAGATGACCACATCGCATAATTGGTTGTGGTTTGTGTGGTAGTCTGGTAGCTAATGGACATCAGCCACACCGTTGCCCGCTGAAGGCCCATCGCTTGCGAATCTGGGAGAAATTTCTTACTTTTGCTTTCTAAGAAATTAGCAAACCCTGAGCAATATTTTAAGGAATCACATTGAATAGAGCTGAAGCCGTGCTATTCTAATCAAATGATAAGACGCTTTGATCCTTCATACTCTTTAATTAAGACGAATTATTCTCATTGTTAAATCGGCTCTGATGTTCGTTCAGTGAATGCGAATGAAAACTGAATGCTTTCTTCAAACGAGATATCGATTGAACGAAACTTTTTCAATGGCGCTCCGTAATCTGAATTTTGAACTATTCGTTCTTGAAATCAAAAGAGACTTCGTGATTACATTTTTTCGTTTTTTTTCCTACCTAAGCTGAGAGCCTTGAGAGACTATTTCAGCGTAACCTTAACTAGTAGGTGAGCTCACGGGGCTCAAACCTGACGATGTTGCAAACACGAACCCTAGCAAGAGCCGTGCTTCTCAGAATCTACCACCGGGTCGGTAACGCGACCCACCGAGAATATCCGGCGAGAAACTTAGCGGGCTGTGTCTGTGGGTTAATTTACTCGCCGAGCACTTCGTCGCAAGCGACGAGTTCGACGAGAACGATGACCAGTGCTTGGGGTACCTAAACGCACCGTTAGTGGATCGGGAGGATCCGAAATGACGTGACGCTTCTCGGCTAATGTAGTGTTACTATAGAATTACAAATCTACAGTTGTTACCTACAAAGGTGAGTCGTCAACGTTTCGGATAACAAAGATTACTAATTACTCTAATTATCAGATATGATAATCTATATTTTACTTGCTCCTGCACGGCTGGAAATGTAATGCATTCTATGTTTTGTTACCTGTTATGTATTGTTACCGGGCCTCATAGACATCTATAACGTAAATGCCGCCACCCACCTTGAGACACGAGTTCTAAGATCTCTTTTAACAATACAAGGGCTGTCTCGCTCTTCAAACCGAAACTCATTACTGTTTCACGGCCGAAATAGGCAGAGCGGTGGTACCTACCCGTGAGGACTCACAAGACGTCCTATCACCAGTAATTACGCAAATTATAATTTTGTGGGTTTGATTTTTATTACACGATTTTATTCCTTCACCGTGGAAGTCAATCGTGAATATTTGTTAAATTCGTATTTCATTGAAAAAATTCGTATCTGCCTGCGGGATTCGAATACCGTTGCATCGCTCGACACGAATGCACCTTACCATCCTTTAGGCCACGACGACTTACAAAGATTATGTCTCAGAATAGTGGCATTAACTTTGTGATGTTTGCGGCTAACTTACTACCTCAAAGTGCGATTCCCGATTTATTGGCACGCCTTTTGGTCTAGGGCGTACTCTTTTCCAGACGTTTTCTGGGCGTATAATGGAAACAAGACTCGAGAAAACTATCAGCGGCTCGGCCGTTCTTTTCGCATTGTTGACGTGAAGGAACGTCTGTGATCACTCGCCATCAGGTGAGCTGTATGATAATCTGTCTTCACAGATAATAAAAAACAATATCAGTATATATTCAAAACAACGATACAAGTTGGAAAAAAAAAGGAAGCGCTCCCGAAAATTATTTTTTCCCGGCGTATCCTTCACGCGGATTTCCCACGTGGAATATCTAGGAAACACGTTTTCCAAGGGGTCGATCACCCGGAGTTCGCGCGTCCGAGGCCTTATTACCGAGTAATTTAATAGGTTTTTTTTTTTTTTTCGGGAGTTGTTATTTTTTTAACACAGCTGTTTACGGCCCTCAGTCACGTTATGTTATCGATCCGGGGCCACTGTTAATACGTGTTACGGTGTGACCAGAAATAGAAATTTATGATCGCGTAAGTAAATAAACAAAAAAACAACAAAAACAACATCGTCTTCACGGTATATTTTTTTTAGCCCGTTTAAGTTGTATCGACAAAGAGGTAGAATTTTTTAATGACACTTTACCCGAGAAAATTAACAAAAGCAATTAATTGTTCGTGAAAAACGTTAAAACTTCTATGATCAAATCTAGATTTCATGAATTCATGTAGCCTGAGCAGATTATTGGGTTTGTTTGTATAGAAGACTATTGGATCGCGTATAATTTTAATGTATAGATTTTTCATACACACCTTTGACAGAGTGATCGTTATTGCCATTTCTACCTATTCAAACTCATCCTACTTAGGGGGATACTTACATTAGGGGATTTCCCACTCATCATCATCATCATCATCTCAGCCTGTCCACTGTCCACTGCTGAACATAGGCCTCTCCAAGTGATCTCCAGTGCGGCCGGTCCGTTGCCACCTGCATTTGGATTTCCTACAAATATCGAGTGGTTCCTCCAAGTTATACAATTTCATGTGGATTTCCCACTGAAGACTTGAATTGTCCACTTGTACAGTTCATCTTTCTTTGCACCTCGAGGCGTTCCATGTGCCGATTTAAGAAACACGGTAATGTACACTCTATTTAATTATTTATTTAACAAACTAACAGTTAAGCTGTTGTCAGGAATTAACGGTAGTTAAGGGCTATATAATAGCTTTTAGCAAAAGTTACGAATGGCTGCCTGATCCATGGAACATTAGGCTCATGGCCAGTGGGTCATTAAGCACGGAGACCGCAAGATGCGTCGGGAGAGTTTGCAGTGTGCTGACAACGCGCGTGGTTCAAACCAGCCACTATAGGCGACGCATCTCATTCAAACATCAGGGCATATGTCACATCTATATATTACGAGTAATTTGTTACCATTAATTTTATAAATATTAATGCATTTTTTTAAGAATATTGTGGTACTTAGAAACGCCCACGCAGCGCTGAAGTATCGTGTGTGAGGTCTCTAATTTGTGGTCAGGCCTTGAGTATGTTCCAAGGTTTTTAGTGGTACAATAATAGCCACAATAATCCAGATCAGATCAGAAGACATGCCGCAATTCTACTTGGACCTACTACGGACAATTCCTCATGTTCCATCAGTAGTGGTGTCCTCAACTGATGTTATTACTTAAACTCTGCGTCAAATCCTATCTTTCTTTCTATATTTCAGACTTATCAATTCTAAAAAGGCTGCGTGGATCCCATCACATTCATTTTACCATCATACCACATGATACCGGAGCTGAGTCCATCCATGCTGTTTGGAATCCTTCCGCTAATCTGCAGAGCGTCACCAAAAGCCGTTTTTGTACACATCATCTGGGCCTTGAAATGAGAATCTAAGGAGTGCCATCACATTGCTGATCAAAGATCTCTCCCAATTAAATTGACAGTATACTTGTGTGTTTTGGAAGCTATTTTTTTTATTGCTTTAGTGTGTGGACGAGCTCACAACCCACCTGGTGTTAAGTGGTTACTAGAGCCCATAGATATCTATGCGCCACCCACCTTGAGATATAAGTTCTAAGGTCTCAGTATTGTTACAACGGCTGCCCCGTCCGTCATACTGAAACGCATTACTGCTTCACGGCCGCAATAGGCAGGGTGGTGGTCCCTATCCGTGCGGACTGACAAGAGGTCCTACTACCAGTAATTTAATTAAAAAAGTTGACAATATTCCGAAGCCTATGCTTAAAGAGCCTTAGAAACCTCCAGTCCCATTGGGAGGTCTTGCTATTGGTAGCTTAAGAAAATGAGAATTGAACTTCCTCTCACCCTGCGAGTTTCTAAAATTTAATAACTCAAGCAACCCTCATAGCGTTAGATCATCCATCACATATTCACCTTATCACTCGTCTCCGCCAATTTTCATAAGTCTACCGTGGAACGTATCCTGAGCCTCGGGCACGAAACGACAGCGATAACGAGCGACTAAGTCAGCCGGCAGGTGTAGCCTGACCCACTTCGGTTTTATTAAAAATGTAGGGACACCTCATTAGATAGGGAGAAACGGTGTGGCGGTGTAACTTGAAAAAAAGCAACCTGGTTGATGATTCTCGATATTTGTAGGAGATTAATTAAACGATAAATTATACCCTATAATTTACTAT